TAATTGAAGAAAGAGTGTAATGACTGCTTAGGAGTTTGAATTTAGAAGTCCGACATCTAATATGCCTGATTTCATCATTTTATAACCACTAGAGGTGTTGACCCCAAAAAATGTTGCCAACAGATGCCGGGCCCACTCGTGCACACGTAAGCTTAATCCAACATGCTAATGCCAATCGACGGTCATAAGGACTCCAGAAAGTGAGCGTGGGAGTAGCTAAAAGGCACGAGACGTCTCCGTTCAGGCCACCGGCATTTCTCTATTTAGAATATTATTTCATAAGTTACCAAAAGTTCATTCTTTGTTTTCGTTGCCGTCGCTTGTATAATTGAAGAAAGAGTGTAATGACTGCTTAGGAGTTTGAATTTAGAAGTCCGACATCTAATGTGCCTGATTTCATCATTTTATAACCACTAGAGGTTATACGAGTACAAAAATCACAATAATTGTGGACTGCTACTTTCTAATTTTTAGATTGTATGAAGCCTAAGTAATTCACTCATCCTTTTAACCACATAACTTAACTTATATTCGTGGAGGCTCATTTATTTTTCGTTTATTATTGCTCACGGAGTTAGAGATTAAGATTTAATCCATATCACCATGTAGTGAAACCCAGTATATTACAGTATAGGTGGCATTCAAATGGAGAATAATACAAGAGGATTGGAATTACCAGGAGACGACAAAGCAGATAAGTGCCAGTGTCCTATTATAGTTTGATTGATGAAGGCCTTTTCGACAACAAATACACCCAGTGGCAACATTGATGACAATTTGAGCAATCGTGAGAGCTACAGCTGCAGTTAATCCAAGGCCTAGGGCCGGACTCCTTGGATATACACATTCAGTAGGAGAAGGAAATTGAACCTGAGAACCCTGCAGAATAATTAAGAAAATCAAATAACAGCTATATCAAGAATATCATGGCTTATGAATGCCGAAGAAAGGACCAGAGAAGTGGAATAAAAGACTGCCCATTAGTTAATTAGCACAGAGCAAAACAACTGTCCCGGGCTGGGTTCTTATAAGACTCTTAACCTCAATAGTGTAACAACCAACGACTAACAGGATAGGAATGTCTTAGAAGAATGTTTCACTCAATCACCTTTTGAATTTCGTAGAATGGCTGCCTCGGTTTATTGCTTTTGTGCTTCCAATTCACATCTCAATATCAATATCTGCAAGATTGCTACACGGCGGAATGTCCCAGATGTAATGAGATTGCATCTGCCTGATACCACATTTATGCAGCCGAGCTTCCAAGACTACATCTATACGATGTGGCCTAGAGGCTAGAGGTGCCAAGATTCATTATGGACAGTGGACAAAGTTGGATTGTTCGTCACTATAATGTGGGCATAAACACTTTCCCAGGGATTGGACAATAGGTAAATTAATTAGAGAATGTTGGTTAGCATAGAAAAAGCACGATTGACGTAAAATGGGGTTCAAGAAAGAATATCTTGGGAGACTACAGTAAACGTCCTCTTTCAATACTGATATTCTGTCAGGATTAACCTATGGTTTACCTTTGCGCCCCCTTATATCTTAAAAGCTCAGAAGTTCGCGTATGATTATTTTTGCTGATTTCAACAAAATTCTACAAATTGAAACGTTATAGGATTGCAAGAATTGCAAGTACCATTATAAGTTTACTTAATCTCACATCCTATATCCAGATATCCCGACTTCCAATTAGATTAAAATCACTACAAAATAAAATGAAACCAATGCATGAAGCTCGATGAACCCATTTAATATTTCGCTCAGGAAATCAAATTCAGAAGTGTTCAGCAATCCTTTTATGCAGCAATATATCATTCATGTGTGTTGACGCACAAAATGTACAACCCAATTCAAATGGCCCAAGAAAAGAAATAGCCCAAAAGAAGAAGCCCATTTAGAAAGATCATGGTGAAAGCCCAACTAGAAATATCATTAAACATGATAAAAGTCCAAAAACAAAGGAGCGTTGTCGCCCAAACCTGCAGAACGCCCATATGTTGAGCGAATGAAGTATCCCATAATCGCCCAGAGCGGAAGATCAATTGTCGCCCAAAAATGCCGAGTCGCCCAGAGTCCCAGCAATGACTAAAGCTTGTTGTTATCCAAAGTCACGATCTAAGGCAGTTTGAGCACATNGTTGTTATCCAAAGTCACGATCTAAGGTAGTTTGAGCACATCACAATTACGCCCCACGATTTGAGAGAGTTGATGGCAAGCAGTTATGAAGAGGATGTAGTGATAGGAGTTACACACGGTAATTATTGGTCAGCCGACCATGATGAAAGAAATGGGTAATTACAAGAAGTTTCTAAACGATTAAAACTGCCCAATCCGTATAAAAGAAAGAGGAAGACAACGAAGACAACCCCGACAAAATTCACTCTCAAACAGAGAATATGTAATTTACTTTTCCTTAAATTAATTTTAATTACTTCAATTCCCTTGTACTTGTGTGTTTGCGCCCCTTGGAGGCATCTTGTTCGTGTCCAAATTGTAATCTTCATATTCAATAAACACCCATTTTTGGGACTTTGTTCTAAGAGGTTTATCCCTTACACAATCGTCTGTTCCCTTTTTAATTGTTAGCGAGTAAACCCGCGCGAAACAATGTGTAACTCAATCTACGCTCAACAGTTCACTAGCTTACAATAAACACGATTAAGAATCAGAAGACTTAACATCAAAATACTCCTAGTCGATAATTTAACCACCAAGATGGGGTTAAGCATCAAGTAATATTCTCAAGGAATGCAGCTCCAGAATTCAAATATTGAAAAACTGAATTCAATATCAACCTAAACATCTTAACTTGCTAAGAAGTGACAGGAAAATCCAATCTTCAGTATACAATAAGCTTAGAGAAAAAGTAGCCCCTCTTAGTTAGATTGGCAAAATTGCATCATCGGGTCTGAATACTCTGGAATTAGCATATTCTTGAAAAATATTCATTTTGTAATCTTTCAAAAAATTATTTTAAATTCATAGATAGGGAGACAAGAAAAGAAGGTGGAAATTTCCTCATATATTTGTGAAGGGCAGTCTAGTGTAATGAATACGTACCTTAATCCTCTTGGCCTCGGCAGCAAAACCTGTAGCAGCTGATAGTAGCCCCAAGAACCCAACAACAGAGCACACTATTATCACCTTCCTCTCCATTATTTCTTCTCTCTCTCTCTCTCGCTAAAAAAATGCCAAGATTCTTCTTTCTTTTACGACTGTTAGTTTCTGTTCGAATTGCAATGATTGATTTCAATATAGAGAAGACTGGAATAGGAAGCAGTTTTTTGTCTCTTTATTCGAAATAACAGTAGCAATTCCACTTTTCTTTCCTGACTTTTACTACGAAAATGAGTAGAGAGAAAAATAAAATCTTCTACGAAACTGTTTCGTTTGCGTGTAACATTATTTTATAATAGAATGTGTGATTAAAAATGAGGACCAAGCGTATGCTTAGTCCAGAGCAATCCCTCGACTTTACCAAATGCTTGTCACTGCAAAGCCGTAAGATCAAGTTTGGTGCCTTACGTCAACTTAGCCCTTATTTGATGTAATTAAAAATTAAATTTTAATAAAAATTGTGATTAAAAAATTGTAGATCCTATGAGTCAATACGTAAGCAAGATTTTAATCTATTGTTAATATGTAATAGGAAAGGTTCTATCTGTGTTTGAAAAGTTCGTAAAATTGAAGCAAATTTTTAATCTATTGTCAAATATGTAATAGGAAGAGATCACAATAAGTTCAATGAGGTCGCGCGCAACTTATCTATGCCCAGTACGCGTTTCTTGCGTGTTGCCGAGACAAGGAAGCACGCCGTATGAATCACCATCAGGCTAACCAAGAAAATACCTTCTATTTTGGGACACAATGACAATAAAATATACCAAAAAATAAGGAAGATAAGACTTAACGGCCGTCACGAGGTTCCCTTCATCAATTAACCCCCCGTTTGATTTTGCTAAAAATCTGAAATTTAATGATTAAAAAAAAATTAAATGTGATTGAAATTTTGATTAAAATTGTGAATATCATAAATTGTATAGTTATTATTAAATGTTGACTTTGACTTAATTTTTATCGATATTTTTAGCTAAATCAAACATAAATTGTTCGGTTCACTTTATTTTCAAAATACATTATCCTCTCTTTTATTTCCAATAACACATTCTTCAATAAAATATACACTCAAATTTAAAATTTTTTTTTATTTTTTGATCACACAATCTCCATTAAAATACTATTTCAAAATTTCTGTAGCAGAAATTGAATTATGTTTTTAGTGTAAGGGGATCAAATGTCGACATGAGCTCATAATCTATTCCATGATTAATAATTTAGCAACTGACTCTTTATTCAAAAATTAAATTTGACTCGAGTATGATTTGTATTTACTATCATATGTAGTAGGCCGGCTTATGAATTATTAAATGAGAAAAGTGATGAATAATACAATTATTGAGAATAAAAATTTAATATTATCTTGAAAAATCATCATTAAAGTCACAAAGTCACAACACCTAATTCTTACACGTTTTATAATTGATGCTAAGCGTATAAAGTTTCGATTAATAAATAACTTTGTTTGAAACATAAATATTTTTTTATTAATTAAAGTTGAAAAATAAATAAATTACATACATAGACATTAAGTAAGAGTTGCTTTCTAATTCCAAATCTGTAGAAAATAAAAGTAACATTAAAAGCAATGAATTATTTGGACTAGAACAAAAACAAGTTTCAAAAGTGCCCAAACAGTTCCTTGATCGTTCCGTTAATTTTGACGGTAGCCGTCCAAAATTTGGACCTGTAACCGGGTACTCCGTAGTACGGGGTAGGTGCGGACCAGTAGGAAAGGAGACAGATTTTTTTATTTTTATACAGTCACCAAACAACTCCATACTATAAAAAGGGTTTATCTCAATTATTTGGATATAAGCTCTATATTTCTATTTTCTCTCTAAAATCTGTTTGTAAAAGGGTCTGTGATTTGTATGGCAGCAGCCAATTTGCAGAGTCGGAAACTGGCGAGCTTCGGAAAGCGATTTGTAAGCCAGATCGTTCCGCGTGATTCTACTCTACTCCCAACCACTTTTCTCTCTCTCAGGTATATAGTGTGTGTATTTTGGTTGTTGTTGCTTGATGGTGAAATTTAACTACTGATTTTACTGTGTTTTTATTCCGATTATTTGGCATCTCTGTAGAAAACAATTAATCCGTGAAAGTAGTGCTTTTCTGGATGTCTTTTCCCCGGAAACAATTTGCACACACGAATTTCTTTGTGCTTGTGTGTACGAAGTCGGAGCGGTATTTTTTGAGAATTTTTTTGGATGATCAGAATTAAAAGTTACGGCGCTGCACACAGACACGCGCATGCGAATTTTGAGTTCACCGGGCTTATTTTAATGGTAATTTTGCCATAATATTTTCACACTTTAAGTGTGTTGAGTTCTCGTTTTTCTTTCTTTCTTCTATTTTCTGCCAAGTCCAATTTACTAGAATAATGCTATTTAGCAATATCATTTACGACTATACTTTACCAGTAAGTCACGTGAATTTACATTTAAATGAATTTTTCATTTAATGTGACGAAATTGTTACCTAAATGGGTAGCACTACTCAACTTATTATGGGATGTTTCGAGATATTTCTTACCTGAAATATTTCGTAATTGGTGGGTGACAGTGGATATTGACAAGCTATTGCCACCTAAGAGCATTTTTGGTGACTACATTTTTATGTCCAGTTGCTCTCGTGAACTTATTTTCAAAATAAATAACTTACTTGATTACTATAAGCAGCATGAACTCAAAAAAAAAAAAAAAAAAAGCATAAACCACGGTGGTATATTATGGAGGTAATTTGAATATATTTTCCTCATTTTCCATATATTTAATTTTGCCCTTTTCCTTTTAAATTTGTTTACGTGTTACTCTCGACGCCCATACAAGCCTTGTACTTTATTTGCACAATATGTAGAAAATGAGTGGCCCCTTAAATTTACTAACTGATTTTTTAATATTAATTGAGATTTATGAATAAATTCTTAATTCTTAAATTGTGTGCTTAAATGGGGATTTTCCCGAGAACAGCCAAGTAGTATAAATTCAAGCTCCGTTACTTGAGATGTAATGCCTAAAGATTACTTCTTTGTGCTTGGAAATGTTGAGATCATGTTAAAGAAGTCTAGAAACTCAACTTTTAGGGTAATAAAGATGAATTAGGTGCAATATAAGGATAATAAAGGTGAATTAGGTACGATTCATGGCCCACATCAATCATTAAGAAAAATGTGTACTGCCTAACACTTTGACATGTTGGGTTGGAGTGTATGTGTCTTTTTGAAGCAAAAACGTTGGTTATGATTTATTGGATGCCTCTCACTTCATATGGTCTTGAGCTTGTTGAAGGATATTTCTTGTGCACCTACTTTTTCATGGTCCTTGGCTCTTGTGCACCTACTTTTTCATGGTCCTTGGCTCCTTGCCATAGATCTGTCATACATATACTGTTAGTAGGTACTAAAGTTGAAGAAATTAGAGATAACTATTTATATATAAATGTAATAATTGTTGCAATCTTTGAGTGTTAGTTAATTTTACTGCACGAGATTGGATATGATATGCGAATCAAAATTGATTGAATATACTTTCTTTTAAACCATAAATGAATTTACCTGATATGGTCGTAACCTTGTAAATTTCTTCAATCTTAGTTCTTGATTCAAGGTCTTATATCTCTTACACACTGCTGAATTCGTTGCCGACTCTTGGCTGCCGGATTAAATAAGAGTAATATACTATTGAGTTTGACTTCAAAATTAATTTTCTTTGGGTACCCCCTTTTTGAATTGAACATTTATAAAATAATTAATATTATGACCACTATCTCCTCTTCTTTTTCAATATGAGGATCCCACTACCATCTGATAGGATATGAAGTTATCATCGTTGTTTGTTTTGCATGTATCTTTGGTTTGTTTACACTTTACAGCTTTCTTTCCCCTGTGTCAAACATCAAACTGTGGAAATGTGCTAATATCTTATGTTCATTAATAAAGGAATAAAGCTTGGTTGGTGGCTAGTCCTTATCTCATTATTTGTTTTTTCCTGATCATGTGACCAATATCCCAACCCTATGGACACTGACTACTCTAATGTGTTACAAAAACAAACCTTAAGTTTCACTAACCTATCAGAGTTTGTTATTATAGGGTTTTCGGTTTTTTTTGGGTATGTTTTTATCTATTTTATGTTCTCTAAATTTAATTTCATGCATAGGGATCGATGGAGGGTGGCAAATTTAGTTTGGAGTGAACCATAAATTTTCCTTCTAGGAAGAATTAAACAAATGCCATGTTCCAGTATTCTCCTTAAATGATATTATTTTCCTTGTATGATATAATGTGAATCCTTTTTCATTTTTCATTTTTGATTCTCGTTTCTTGTTTCTATTAGTTATTGCTGGGTGATTATTAACTTATGATGATTTTACCTCAACTTGTAGGAGGGGGGTGCACGTTTCGGTGTATGACAAGAACCCGGAGGAGCATGTCCGCCCTACTGTGGTACCAGACGATATAATCGCACCCCAATCTGACAAATATTGGGCTCCTAACCCGCAGACTGGCGTGTTTGGCCCAGAAACTGATCACAAACCAACTGCAGGCACTGCTGCAACTGCAAGCGTTAGTGAAGATTCAGTGTTGGAACAGAAGGCCTTTTTCCGTCCTCTTGAGGTTGAGGATTTGGAGAAACCGCTCCATCCTTGAGTTATCCTATTATAAATAAGTTCATCGCGGAGGCTATATTCGTGAGCTAGAATATATACATATATATGTAGTACAGTGGAATAATAATAGTAGCTAGCCGGAACTCACTTCTGAACCTAAGGCTGTTACTACTTAATTGTGTACCTATGGTTGGATGTTATATCAGTATCATACTTTGTGAAAGAATTTGGTTACTTTCGTCACTTTATTCTTATGAAACCATAGTGATTATGGCTTCTCACTTTGTGAAGAATATAACTTTTACACTAATTAAGAAAAAAATCAGTTAGGTTGTCAATGTTATCGGTTAACCAGAGTCACATATATGGGACATCGTCCTACATTGATTAAGTTGAACGCTAATGCCATGTCCTTCCCGGGACCTTGGTTCCTCAAATGATCATGTTTGGATAGTAATTCCCAAAAAGAGAACATGCGACAAAATTTGCCTGTTGTCACATCTAACATGTCGAGGATTTAGGATCACAAGGAGCCTAGATTGAGGATAAGATGAGAAATCACAGATTGACAATATTTTTGTTGGCAATAGCAAGAAGCAGACACATGTTGAATCAGTTATTACCAGTCATAAATAGTCCAAACCTGCCACCTTTTTGGCAAAAAATATCGCGACATTAGATTGTGTAATGAAAGGCGCCTTGATTTTGGCATCACTCGTGAGAAGGCTCTCTTTAGCCTCAGAAATAGTATCTTCATCTTATCAAAATACACCGTGTCCCTATTCTAAGATCCACATTCCCCCCATCTAAAACCTTGGATATGTGGATTAGACTACATGAATGTTGATATGCATAAAAGTCTGAAAAAATCTACGTTACATGTAGCACCCCTCTAAAAATCTCTTTTCTATGAATGAAGCTAAATGAACATAATGTTTGACATAGAGGTTGATTGACCTTTCACATTGCATGTGGCTCCCGACCTAAATTAAATAATGCCGAC